TTCCTCTTAACCTTTTAAAAACCAAATATTAATAAGCGTCGACTCTGTTTTTAATAAGTGATATATTCAACCCCCCTTCTAGATTAGTGTCGTCGTCTAACTGTTTGAATGTATAAATCATTTTTGATGTTACATGTGTTCAAATTATGGTTAACTTCAGTTCTTCATATCAACAAGTACAACGTTTATAATTGGAATGCACATTGGTGTAGTTGTCCCATTATCCTAATCATTATCATCGATCGCCACTAATAATGGCATCATCATTGCCTCCACTTATGGTAGAGTGGATTGAACTTGAGGAGGCCATTGATGCTCTCTTGATCCTTAAGTTATCCTGATAACATTTTCGGGCAGTCTCCTTATCTCTCTAGACCACGCCAATTTGGCCATCCTCCAACGGGTACTTCATGCTCAAGTAGAGTGTAGACACGTCAACTTCCAAGTAGATAGAAGCATGCATCCCAATAATAATGTTGCGGGATGAGAGGGCATCAACAACAAGGCATCTAACATTGATTTCCTTAACGTTCCTTTACATAATGAATATTGTTTTAATGGTAATGTAACTTTTCACTTGTACGTGTTCTCCCAATAAATCGACAAAAAAATCACTAAATGCATATGGGTCTTCTGGACCCAAGTTCAGCCCTTCAAAGTATTCCCACTACAAGACATCATTCGTGTTTCCAGGATATATAAAAACTCACATCACCTCTTAGTCGGACAATTTAACAATTATAACCATAGGGACATCTTTGTGGGAAAAGATCCTTGTAACATCTTCATGAGAGAAAGTGATATCAGATTCTAGGTTTGATCTTAGTAGTAGAGGTAGATCTTCAATGGCCATGACCCGGAGGGCATATCTCTTTTGGGAAGAACGAGACTCCCCGACACTAGCATAACCTTTGACGATGATATAATTGTATGAGGAACTAACAAGTCTTATTTTCCTCCCTCGAGTTCTTACTCTGGCACTGAGTGCCCTATATTTTTCAGAGAAATGTTACGGGGTCTAAGATCTCGTCTTCTTTAAACGAGTTGTCTCCGTGCCACCTTTGTGGAAGAGTCGAGAAATTTTCTTCTAGGATTTGGTTGTGGTGGTTCATCTCATCCATAGCAGCTCACATTTCTTCTATGGCCTTGTAGTCATTATTATCGTTGCTAATAGCTATTGAGGTGCCTCCTTGTGTCACCATGTTGAGATAGATGACTGAGGCGACTAAAATTTAGATGCAAGTGTGACCTAAGTTAATTTTACTGGGATCCAAATGTGGGTGCGAATTGTACTTGTATAAAATACAATGAGGGAAACATGCTCACATGTATAGACGCAAGAGGTTTTTTTTATATGTTGAGTCTGTGAAAATAGTGAATCATCCATCATCCATACCCTAGAGATTGAGATATGTGTATTCATGACATATGGGCCAAATTGTGGGTAAGAACTGGTCTTTCCCTAACTAATCGACAAAAATGTGGGAATAGAGAGACTTGTTCTTCCTTCTATCTCAGAGGAGAAGTTCCCCGTGGTCTTAACTAAACAAAGCTTTTCAAAGACACCTCATATGCCATACAATTAGGAAGTTGACTTTTGATAGATGTGAGCTTGAGTCAGGTGATCCATGACCTTCATTTCATGTGGTCAGCCACATATTAAAAGTCTTACAACTTAGTAACTTCAGTTTGGAACGAGCACCCGTATCTTAATGAGTTGCTTCAAGTCGGGTAATCTCATGATTACGTCACATTTACATGGCTTTTCCTATGACTCTTCATATTATTCTTAGATTGGATTTTGGATCAGTATCTTCCAAGAGTCAATTAAATTTATCTCAGTCCATTCAGTTATTTTCATCAAAATTAAATTTTCAGTACCCTAAAACTCAACTATTGTTTTATGTCATTAAAATATTAACTTCAAGCATTTCTTAATCAAATATTTCAAAGACCTTCTAATAAAAAATCATGCCATAACAAAGGCAATGACCATAATTGCAACACCTGCAGCTGCGTATGGCAATGACCATAATTGCAACACCTGCAACTGCATTTGCGATCGCAATTTAAAAGCATGATGGAGATATTGTTCTTTTGCCATTCCCACTACTAAAATCATTGTTCATATGTTCACAATAACTAAAACTTGTTTGCTATTTTTTTTTTTAATTTATAAATTTGGATATTTTAGATTTTGATTGAATAGACAAAACTCAATGTATTAGATATTAAAGATTGTTTGTTTCTATTCAAATTAAATCATATAAATCTTTTACATCTCTTTAAGTTTGTTAAACTTTAAAATTTTCACAAATCCTTGTGAGTAACGATAACACAACTTGCCTAATTTTTCTTATCCGAGAAATTTTCTTCTAGGATTTGGTTGTGGTGGTGCATCTCATCCATAGCAGCTCAAATTTCTTCTATGGCCTTGTTGTTATTATTATCGTTGCTAATAGCTATTGAGGTGCCTCCTTGTGTCACCATGTTGAGATAGATGACTGAGGCGACTAAAAGTTAGATGCAAGTGTGACCTAAGTTAATTTTACTGGGATCCAAATGTGGGTGCGAATTGTACTTGTATAAAATACAATGAGGGAAACATGCTCACATGTATAGACGCAAAAGGTTTTTTTTATATGTTGAGTTTGTGAAAATAGTGAATCATCCATCATCCATACCCTAGAGATTGAGATATTTGTATTCATGACATATGGGCTAAATTGTGGGTAAGAACTGGTCTTTCCCTAATTACTCGACAAAAATGTAGGAATAGAGAGACTTGTTCTTCCTTCTATCTCAGAGGAGAAGTTCCTCGTGGTCTTAACTAAACAAATCTTTTCAAAGACACCTCATATGCCATACAATGAGGAAGTTGACTTTTGAGAGATGTGAGCTTGAGTCAGGTGATCCATGACCTTCATTTCATGTGGTCAGCCACATATTAAAAGTCTTACAACTTAATAACTTCAGTTTGGAACGAGCACCCATATCTTAATGAGTTGCTTCAAGTCGGGCAATCTCATGATTACGTCACATTTACATGGCTTTTCCTATGACTCTTCATATTATTCTTAGATTGGATTTTGGATCAGTATCTTCCAAGATTCAATTAAATTTATCTCAGTCCATTTAGTTATTTTCATCAAAATTAAATTTTCAATACCCTAAAACTCAAATATTTTTTTATGTCATTAAAATCTTAACTTCAAGCATTTCTTAATCAAATATTTCAAAGACCTTCTAATAAAAAACCATGCCATAACAAAGGCAATGACCATAATTGCAACACCTGCAACTGCATTTGCGATCGCAATTTAAAAGCATGATGGAGATATTGTTCTTTTGCCATTCCCACTACTAAAATCATTGCTCATATGTTCACAATAACTAAAACTTGTTTGCTATTTTTTTTTTAATTTTTAAAATTTATAAATTTGGATATTGTAGATTTTGATTGAATAGACAAAACTCAATAATTTAGATATTAAAGATTGTTTGTTTCTATTCAAATTAAATCGTATAAATCTTTTACATCTCTTCAAGTTTGTTAAACTTTAAAATTTTCACAAATCCTTGTGAGTAACGAAAACACAACTTGCCTAATTTTTCTTATCCGTGAAAAAAAAAAAAAAAAGGAAACACCAACTCTTTATCGAAAATGAATCCTCAATGAATGCTTTGACGTACTCATTCAGTCAAAATATTAGAAGTCATTTTCTCATAATCACAAGGTCTAAAAAAAAAAAAAAAATTTTATTTTATAATTCAAAAAATATTAGTTTAAATAAAACCATATGTGTTAAAAAAATAAATAAGAACCAAATGATCCTAATCAGACGGTAAAGGTCGCTTGACTGCATGAATGCACTGACTGACTTGTGCGACACTAATCGTGGTCCCTCGTTATACCTCTACGGTGTATATAAATAGAAGATTTAAGAATAAGGACACTAAAAATACTTCATCTCATTTGAAAAGTAAATTTGACTAATTTTTACAGTAGAAAGAGAAACCAATAAAATTGTTCAATTCAAAATTATCAACCATGATGATCTTACACAAAGTGCCATATCCGTACATTTTGTAATTTTCTTCATTGGCATATTATTAAATCACACTACTAAACTCTGTCAAACATTGCTATCTGCAATTGATGAAAAAAAATCTCTAATTGGCATGTCCACATTAAATGGAAAATAGAAAATAGTGAAAACCTAATATCAATCCATAACATATAGTGAATGAAATAGCGAGTACAAAAACCAAAAAAGAAAAATTAAGAATGTGAGTAACAATGATGAGGTAGCATATATAAACTTCATAGTTCAATTCAAACCATAAATACAAGTACAACAAACACATGAATAAATAAATTAGATCTTGCCATTAATAGATGCTTCTTCCATGTGAGAAAGCTATAAATGAAACATCATTTCAAACACATGAAGAAAATACACAGAAGAACAAGAACAAAATGGTTCTGTTTTCTAATTCATATAATTACAAATTACTACTACAAGTTACGACGTTAATTAACATGTTTTGTCATAAAAGCAAACATAAACAGAAAACAAAAAAGGAAACAGAAACAATCCATGTACACATTACACAATACTAGATAGGTTGTCTTGTGTTGTGTATGTGTGTTCTCGATAATCACACCCAACACAAAACATGTTACATTCCCAATGAAAAGGTTAACCAAAAATCAATATTAGTTGTTGTAGTAATAGTACTCACAAGAAGCAAGCACAACCCAAAACTCAACCTCAGTAGTAACATTATTAATCAATGCATCATATATAGAAAATTCAATAAAACTGAGATATAAAACAAAAACCCCAAAGGGAAAAAATTTAAGATGGCTGCTCTGCAACATTTTCCCTGTTCGGTTCTGGCAACGTTTGTGTTTTTCTTTTTGTACTAGGATAACATTATTTATTTATATATAAATATATAAATATATATTCATATGTTGTTGTTGTTGTTATCTTTCACGGCAAAAAAAGCTTGTTCCCGCACTTGCAACGCCAAGCTTCTGGATAATACTCGAGCCGTATGATTAAACCGGGTTGAACCGGGACGTGAACCGGGTGACACGGGTTGCACCAACCGCACTTGGATCTACACGACGGAGGAGCTGAACCTGGACCGTTGAGCTTCTTCTGTTGAGTCATATCTCTCTCCCACGGTGAAGCCGGCGACAGATTTTCACTTTCCTCGTACTTCACTGTTCCGGAACCTGAAAAAAAACACAAGTTGTTGGAATTGAAATTCGAAAAGAGAATGGTTTATGTTTGTGTTTGAAATGAAGTATGAACTTACTGGGTTGTGGTGCGAGAGTTGTTATGGCGGAAGAAGAAGAGAACAAGAGAAAGAGAAAAAGGAAAGTGGGTAATAATAATAAGCAGCAATGGTGGTTATGGTGGTGTTTGCGACGGTGGAGGTGGCGTAGTACGCACATGTTGGTGGTGGGAATGCGTAGGTTAGAGAAGGTGTGTTAGTGTTGTTGCGTGTGAGAGAAAGTCTAAGTCAAAAGAGAAGAAAGAACAGCAAAGAGGGAGAGAGAGATCTTGTTTGAGTATCTGAGAAAATGGACCCAAGGGTTTGGGGACATGGACCCCATTAAACTTCAGAATTATTTGTCATAGGCAGGGTGTGTTGTGTCTTACACCTTGCAACTTGGTAATAACTTCATTTCAATTCTATTTTTATTCTTAATTTTAACTCTAAAATATCCTTATAAAATATTATATATTTATATACTTATTTTCTAAATAATTATTAGTGTTGAAATTTAAGTGTCACTTGGAGGCTCTTATTAGCAACATCAATTTTTTTAGGTGAGAGAGAATATTTTAGAAATGTTCTTTTAATGAGAAAATGTTTGAGTTTTTAGATTTTTTTTCTCTTAATTTTGAATATATTATCATAATATTTTTTTTTTAAAATCTGTTATTTTAAAATTATGAGGTGCTTCAACGACTTATTTTATCAAATACTATAGATTTTATTACGAAATAGATTTTAATATTTTAAATTTAAACAATTTTAATCCACTATCATATCTTTACACTTAAAATTAATAATGTTTTTATTTTTTAATTGATAATTTTTTTTTATGAAATGTGACAAATCATCTATTGTAAAAATTTATAAATAGAGATATATATTAAAAACGAATACTTCATTGATTTTTTTATGAACAACGTGAAAAAAAAAATAAAAACTGTTTAAATTTAAAATAAAAAATTAATTTTGTGAATCAGGTAAATTATGAGAAAAGAAAATAATTATCTTTTTAATATAACTTCATTTAAAGAAAAAGAAATAAAAAGGCAAAAGAAAAATTGAAATTGAGAGATTATTTAAATATTAAATTCCTCAAATTACACGATACATAACATAAACTCCTCTAAGTATACAATAAAGTGAAAATAATATAAAAAAATAATATATCTCATGTATGTTGAGAAAATGATATAACTCAAGTCAATGCAACATGTTGTAGAAAATAGGCCACATGTTACATCTTGTTGTGCTAATTTGTCAAAGAGAATTATAATGTAATCAGTTGACATATTATGTCAACATGTTATATTTGTTACATTTCCTCTAAAGTATGGGACAATAACTAAATATAACTGGTTACAATATTATATCAATGGGTTACATAAATTAGTTTTTCATTATATCAATGGGTTACATAAATTAGTTTTTCATTTTGATAATTGTACCTCATCTTACGTAGTTATATGTGAAACTAGCGGGATTATATCTGAGTGAATCGCACGCTCAAAGATATAACAGAGCCGCCACCGAACTTTATTTAGTCCCAAAGGACAGAGAAAATATCGATAAAACCCAAAGAGAAGAGAAACGAGTAAGGGGGTCGGTTATGCGAGAGGAAGGTACTAGCACCCCATGCATCTGTCGTATTTGACGGGAACTGTTTTGTTTACTTCTAGGCTTGGATGGGTTATCTATCTAAAGGCTTTAGCTAAAAAAGAAAAGAAAAGAGAGAGAAAGAAAGTGCTCGTGGAGGATTGGGGTCCTCGTGCCTACGTATCCTCATAGTGCAATGAGGAATTCAGAGCTCTGTAGTTTTTGAAACCAAGGAAGGAAAGGAGAGACAGAGAAAAAGAATGGAAGAACGTAGAAGGTAGCTCGTCAAGATCTCGTGATCGCATGCCTACGTATCCTTACAGTTCAATGAGGAAGTCAGAGCTTCGTAGTTCATGGAACTAGGAAGGAGAAAGAAAAAGAAAAACGGTGTCGATACCAAAGAGAAAAGGAAGATAGCAAGACCCTACTGGGGGAATGCAAAAGAAATAGTGTTAAAACCAAGAAAGAAAGGCTCTGCTGAGGAGCGCAGAAGAGAAGTGGTGACTCCACTGGGGAGAAAACCAAGGAATGGTGTCGGAACCAAGAGAATAAAAGAAAACAAGGACAACAATCGAGGTAAAAGAGGATCCACAGGGGATTTGATATATTAACTAGCAGACAGTGATTAACCGAAGAACAATAAGAGTAAGACTCTATGGAGAAAGCAAAAGGTGGGTGTCAACAGACGGACTATGATGAACCAGAATGAGAGTATGGAACCAAGAGAAGGTGTTTGACTCTCTGGGGATTCGGTGCGTAAACTGATAAACAATGGTTAACCAAAAAGAGAAATGAGTTGGTTTTAACCCATGGATGGTGATCAACCAAAAGGACGAGTGTAGAACCAAGCGAAAGGTTGTGACCTCAAGGACGAGTGTGGAACCAAGCGAAGGTTGTGACCCAAAGGATAGGTGTGGAACCAAGCGAAAGTTATGACCCAAAGGACGGGTGCAGAATCAAGCAAAAGTTGTAATTTAAAGGACGGTACACCGACTGAACAAGCAGCACTTGACCGAGGAAAAGGGTATTCAAACCAACAATAAGGTTACTAACCCAAATGTGTGAGTGTTTGAACCAAAGAAAGGTTGCTAACTGTAGGGAATTTGGTGTTTAACAGGTAAATTGTGATTAAAACCGAAAAGAATGAGTGATTAACCAAGAGAATGTGATTAACTCAAGAGAGATTGGTTTTAACAAGTAGACTTTGATTAACCAAAGAATGGGTGATGAACCAAGAGAATATGATTAACCCAAAAGGAACTCAGTATGTTAACAGACATACTATGGTTAACTGAGGAACGGGTGATTAACCAAGAGAAAGTGATTAACCCAAGGAAGATTGGTTTTAATAGGCGGGTTGTAATTAACCAATGAAAAATGGAGAGGAGCCAAGAGAAGGTTACGAACTTCGCCAGGGATTCGTTATTTAACAGGCAGACTATGATTAACTGAAGAAAATGATTGCGACTTCACTAGGGAAGAAGAGAATCTGGTTTTAACAAATAAACTGTGATCAACCAGAGAATGGGTGATTAACCAAGAGAAGGTGATTAACCCAACAAAGAAACAAAGATCTTAAACCAAGGATAAGGTGATCGATCAAAGGAAGGATTGAAAGGAATGAGTAATCAAGGATCAAACTTAGGAGATACCACAATCCGAATATAGAGGTGACTATTCTAAATTCAGGGTCAAGCGCCCTTGACCAGAAATAGCTAGAATGAGGGTAGGATATACTTCATCCTCACTCCTTCTCTAGAAACTAAAGTATAGTGCAAAAAATGAAACACACAGAGTAACAGAGCAAGTTGTACAATGCTCCAATGCATTGTGCAGACCTCCGACTCAGCAGGGGAATCGAGAGAATAAGGCTTTAAAGATCTCAAAGAGAAGAAAGAGGTAAAATCAACTAATTGAAACAATTTTTTTATCAATCGACAAAAAGGGAATGAACAAGCCAACTATCTTTCACACGAGTCAAAAGATCGTCAAAGCAAACGTGCGCATTAATGATTGTACAAAATTAAATTTGCTCAATAAAGAACAAACTTAATGCAATCAAGAATGAATTGCAAGGCAGTAACAAACATCAATTAACACGCTTCACCAATTATGGTATCATGTGAAAAAAAAGTATGCAAAAATGATCATGATCATGTAATGTCAAAATTGTAAACAAATGCATAATCAATGAATCGTGCATTAAGATTTGCATACATGTTTTGAACAGAGGCTAAACAGCTCCTAAAACATCCACAAATATCAAGCATATCCATTCATGGAAGTTAAATGGGGAAAGCAAATTAAACAAGCTTGAAAAAACACAAAAATGGCATTCTGCCACAATGTTAATTGGTTAACCATATATGGTTAATCGGTTAACGTTTTGAAAAGTTCAGAAAAAACGTGTGCAAAAGACTGGTTAATTGATTAACTATTTTGCACAACAAATGGTTAATCGGTTAACACTGTGACTGTGGCAGAAAATCAATTTTCCAAAATCACTTCCAACATCTTATCAATTAACCAATCACTCTCATGTTAGGGAAACATTTGTGCACGAAAATCAAATCCAAAATCAACAATTAAGCATTAATAGAATCAATTAATCATCAAGATCAAGAACCAAAACAATTAAAAGATCAACTCACATCAAAAAGCTATCGAAGATACATTATAAACGCACGAAAGGGATCAAAAACAGTAAATCGAGTGTGAATTACCAACCTACAAGGCGGAGGATTTCCTTGGTGATTGTTGCAAGTGATATGTGGTGATAATAAGCAAAGAAAACCAGAGAATTCCAAGCTTGAGATCAAATTGTAGCGAAACCGATAAAAACGCGATAACTGCTCGAAACTCCGATTTGCACCGAGGAAGCTTGAGATGATTACTTGAATTGGAGTAGAAGCTACAAGAACCAGAAATCCAAATAGAATGTAGTGGGATAAGGTTTAGCTCAAGAGAATAACAATTTCGATGTGAAGATTGTTACACTGTAATGGTGGAAATTAGGCTTTTGTGTGTGTTTTGGGATAAAGATGAAGATGAATCTGAGAAAAAGTTATAGAAACTTTAGAGAGAATGTGAGAGAGAAGAGGGGAACTTGAGAGAGAATTATGAAAATGGTTGAAGGTCCCTTACACAAGAGTGAAGGTTTCTTTTATATATAGTGGAGGTTTGGAGTTGCTAGGTTTGGAATTTTCTTTGGAGCTAGCTTTAGAGTTAGTTACATCTAAGTCACTGAGTCAGAAGTTGACTTAGTTAGTCATTTGTTAACTCGGTGGAGCAATCCCATTGTAAGTCTAAAGATCAATGGTTCACATGTTTGGAAGTAAGGGTTCATGGTTGTCATGATTGGAAATGTTGCATTGTAGCAAATGTATTGATGAGTCTTGAAATGCCTAGAATATTCCACACAATGCTAGAATAAAACAGACCAAAAGAGAGCGGAGAGAGTTGCTGTCAAGTGATGAAAATGCTGAATTTTGCTGAAATAACAAGTGTTAATCGATTAACCAAATAAGGTTAACCGATTAACAACTCTTTAAAAGCTGAATTTGGCACTGTAACAAGATG